AGGAAGTTGCTGATCATTTTAGTTGGGGAACACTGCCCTATACGACTTACAATCTTAAAGGTGGAGCTACGATCGCTATTGTAGTTGAGAACACTTCCGCGTGTTTACTGTTCTTTTTTTTTTTTAACATGTGTCTATTTTTTATATGATCAACCCTTATATTATTTACTTTAAATTGATGCTATTTATATTTTTTATAGGTAAATAGATTAAATGTTCCAAATTTCCTGCAAAGTAACAATTAGAAGAAGTCCATAATCAAAATACAATCGAAGCCTGTGATAGAAGTTGTTGAATTCTGTTGGTGAAGTTAAATAGTTAGTATTTTTATAGTTATATATATTATTATAAATCTTTAAAATGTCCTTTAACTTAGAAAGCCTACGTACCTTTGATTCTGAAGGAAGACGGCGAATGACTATTTCTCCAAATAACAGTGAACAGAAAAGTTTCAATACGGAAAACAGACGTTTTTCTAATTTATCAACAAATGGTACTGGTTTTATCAATAAAAATGCAAAACAAAATTCAGAGTTGGAAGAGAATTCATACAACAAAAACCGACTATTTGAGGAACTAAATCCAATGTCGTTAGATACAGTTAAAGATTTGTTGCTTCACAGCTCTGAAGATATTTTACTAACTATACTTAATGAAGAAAATGGATTTACTCTCCTTTTACAAGGAAATACTGAACGAGATTTAATGGCGCACGTATTGCTCGTTATAGAAAAAGCTTTATCATCTTGCATGCAACGCTATGTTCGTGCCTTGATTCTTAAAATAAATACATCAAAAAAGTTTTTGAGCAGTATTCATAAATATTTGGCGACATTTCATTCGAACTCTTCTCAACAGTATCATTTTGATTCTCTTATCAGCTTAACCAAATTACTGTCCAAACTCCAAATGCAATTTTCGTCATCTTCATCTGATTTTTTACTAATGCTGCTGCCCCAGTTGAGAAAAACTTGCGATGAGTTTCTCGTCCACTCTGATTCCTATACTGCAAACAAAAATACCCTTGATGACATTATTCTCCAAAATGAAATATTTCTGCAGAACTTCACGCCTACTCAAACAAAAACTTTGTCCGAAAACGAAAAAATGCAACTTCAAGAGCCACCGGAAAACTACCGCTCTATTCCCATTTTACCAAATGCTGCCAACTTGCAAGATTTTGTTTTTCTCCGCCCAAATATTATTTCAGGCTGTTATCAAGACACTGAACATTATCTCGATGTGCAATTTCGTCTCTTGAGAGAAGATTACCTTAAGCCTTTGCGGGATGGTATTGCAGAGTTTAAGGAATTGAAAAAAGCAGGAAAGCCGTTAAAAAACTGCAAAAATGTCACTGTGTACGAAGACGTTCGCATAATTTCTCAGCAGCTCGTCAGAGCTGGCCTCATTCACATAGCGTTGTTTTCTGATGCAAATTTCGCCGATATAAAGTGGGAATATAGCAAGCGTTTCCTTACAGGCTCTTTGCTATGCTTGACTGATGATGATTTTGAGACAATACTTTTTGCTACTGTTGCTGAAAGAAATGTGAGCAAGTTGCAAGAGGGTAAACTTATATTGCGCTTCGAAGAATTAACCGATGAAATTTTGAATTTGCATCCTCAAAGAAGCTTCATCGTGCTTGAAACAACAGCTTATTTTGAAGCCTATCGCTACAACCTCAAAGCCTTGTCTGAACTTAATGAAGCTAAACTACCATTGCAAAACTACATCGTGAAAATGAAGAAAGATGTTTCTGTACCTATGTACTTAAATGAAAATACGATTTACGACTTTCGACCTTTACTATTGCCTTTGGAAAAGAAATATATTGAAGAAACGTCTTCACAACCCGCCTCTTACAATTTTCCACCGGAAGTTGAGGCAGATTTAAGTGTCCAAAGCGTATCCGTCTTAAAGGATAGTTCTTGGCCATCACATACAACGTTAAACCTAGATGCTTCACAATTTGCTGCTTTGAAGTCGGCTGTTACTAAAGAATTCGCAATCATTCAAGGGCCACCTGGAACTGGCAAGACATATATTGGTTTAAGAATCGTGCAGTTAATTTTGTATAACATAAATAAAAATGCATTAAGCGTTGAAAAAACTCCAATTTTAATTGTGTGCTACACTAACCATGCCTTGGATCAATTTCTTGAAGGAGTATCACTATTTACGCAAAAAATTGTTCGCATCGGGGGTCGATGCCAAACGGAAGCCTTAGAAAAGTTTCAATTATCTAACTTAAAACAAAGTTATAACTACCACTGGAGTATTCCTGAATCAATCTCTGAAAATTTAAGAGAAAAACAATCCCAACTCTATGAGTTGAGGAAAGATATTGACTCAAAAAGGGAATTTCTAGAAAATTCAAATCGAACGGTCTTCAGATTTGCGGATCTAAGAGACTGCATACCGATTGGCCATCTGATATCTTTAAACAGACGTAGAACTTCGCTCAAAAACGATGTTTTATACGAATGGCTCAGCTTATCTGAAAACGCTGTCCACAACTTGGATTATGAATATTTTGGGAACAGAAATGATTTACCTGATAGCGATGAGGAAAATGATGAAAAATGTTTCGATAATTTTCAGGTGTATTCCATTGAACTCAGCAATATTCCTTTGAGTAGTAGTAAAAATAGAATTGCTATAGCAAAAAGTAAAGTTTTGCTAGATGGAGCAACATGCAAACAAACCATCTATGACCTTATATTAAATATTTTAAAATATTGCACTCCTTTGCTTGATCGTGATGCAGAACGCATTAGAAATGTTGCTGTAATAGATGATTTTACAAGATGGAAGCTTTATAAGTATTGGGTTTCAATATTTATAAGAAAACATAGAGAAGAATGCGATTCCCTTCAGAATGAACTGTCAATCAAACAAGAACAAATGGAACGAAGAGTTTCGAATCGATTATCATTCCGTTATGAAGATAATGTGGCACGTTTAAAAAAAGAAATTTCTCATAAAAATAATCTATTGAAAAATTGTTTGAAAACTGTATTGAGTGAAGATATGGTAGAAAATTTTATTTCTCCGCAACAACTTGTGTCTTTAAGAAAATTTGGCAGAAACTGCCAAGAAAAAAATCAAGCCATATTTAATTGGTTAAAATTGAAACCAAGAAACAAAAATAGCTTGGAAGATCGCTGCTATGTCGTTGAAAAACTGCAGGAAGTTGCTGATCATTTTAAAAAGGAATTTGAATTGACTTTTTCAGATAGTATGCGATACCATCGTAATAAGTTCGATATAACTGATGCAGATGACATAGATTATATAGAAGCGCAGAGGTACAATGTCTCTGATGAATTTGGGGACGTTTCATTTAACTTTTCAACGCAACAAAACAGAACTACAAAAACTGAATCTATTGATTCAGAATGGAAAACACCAGGGGGCAAACGGAAATTAAAAAAGTACATTAAAAGAAATCTTTACAACAAAGAAAAAATGTCAGAAGCAGAAGCAATGGCAGTGAAGCATGTCTGGAGTCTACCCATTGATAAAAAGTGGCAACTCTATAAATTCTGGTTGGATTTGTTTCATGAAAAAAAGCAATCTGAAATTTTAGAAATGCAACGAAAGTTTCGGGAGCTTTATGAAGAATTGAATGAACTGAAATCGTTGGAAGATGCCTATTTGTGCAAAGAGGCAGACATTATTGGCATAACAACCACTGGAGCAGCAAAATATAAGCATATAATTGAAATTTTAAATCCAATGATCGTTATCGTTGAAGAAGCAGCTGAGTTATTGGAAAGTCACGTTGTTACTTCTCTTGCACAAAATACCCAGCATGTTATTTTAATTGGAGATCATCAACAGCTAAGACCTAGTCCCACTGTTCATTTGCTGTCTGTAAAATACCACTTAAACGTGTCACTGTTTGAAAGAATGGTAAAAAATGGTATGGAATGCCTACAACTCAAAATGCAACACCGGATGAGACCTGATGTAGCTAGACTACTTGTGCCACATATTTATAAGGATTTAGAGAATCACGAATCAGTCTCAGCGTATGAAGACATTAAGGGACTGGCAAAAAATATTTTTTTCTTGTCGCACAATAATCTTGAGTTCCAAGAAGGTGACTCTAAAAGTAAAGTCAATCAGTATGAGGCTACATTTATAGTTAAACTATGCAAATATCTTCTTTTTCAAAACTATGAACCTTCTCAGATAACAATTCTTACAACTTATTCGGGCCAGTTATTTGAAATTAAAAGATTGGCGAAAGGAATCCTTGATGGGGTTAGAATAACAGTTGTCGATAATTTTCAAGGCGAGGAAAATGATATCGTACTTGTATCTTTTGTACGAAGCAATGACGAAGGGGAAATTGGCTTTTTGAAAGTTTCGAACCGAATTTGTGTCGCATTATCCAGAGCTAAGAAAGGCCTTTATTGTATTGGTAACTTTAAGGCTTTAGCGGAAAATAGTGCAGTTTGGAAAAATATAACTAATGCTTTGGCAGAAACTGATAGTATTGGGGATTCTCTTGAACTTAAATGTCAAAATCATATAAACACAAGTAGTTTTGTTGCGAATGAAAGCGATTTTGATTGTGTGAAAGACGGAGGTTGCAATTTATATTGTGAATATCGACTCGAATGTGGTCATGCTTGTCCCAGGAAATGCCATCCATATGACCAAGAACATTCTGAAGTTACTTGCTATAAATCTTGTGGGAAATTATGCCCTGAAGGCCACCCATGTCAAAAGAAATGTTTCGAGGGGTGTGGTCAGTGTACTGTTCCTATATTGACTAAAATCGAAAAATGTGGTCATGAAATAAATGTTGCATGTTATCTTAAAGATAGTAACCAGATACTGTGTACTGAAAACTGCGTGAAAGTTTTACCATGTGGCCATGAAATAAATATTGCTTGCCATGTGGCCATGAAACATATAATTTGTACTGAAACATTTACTAAAATTCTTTCTTGTGGTCACGAGATAAGTATAGAATGTCGCCTCAAGGACACATTTATACAATGTAGTACAAATTGCCAACGAACACTTCAATGCGGTCATAAAATTAACGTACCGTGCTATGCTAGAGACGAAGAAATAAATTGTGATGAAATTTGCATCAAAAAGTTACCTTGTGGTCATGAAATATCTATTGAATGTTATAGTGATGTTAAGAAAATTGATTGCTTGAAAATGTGTGAAAAACTGTTACCTTGTGGTCATGATTGTTCGAACTTATGCTGTGAAGAGTGCACAGATAAATGCGATAAACTATGTATTATTCATTCTAGTATTTGCGATCATTATGTTACAGATAAATGCTCTTGGAGGAATGATGCTGAATATCTTTTAAGCAAGTGCGCAGTAACTTGCAATGAAAGATTAAGTTGCTTACATACTTGTAAAGGAACTTGCAGTAGTTGTCATCAAGGTCGCTTACACACAGAATGCAATCAAAACTGTAGAAGAATCTTAATTTGTGGTCACGAATGTGAGTCTGTGTGTTCTAAAAGTTGTCCACCTTGTAAAAAGCTTTGTGAAAATTGGTGCGATCACGCTAGGTGTCTTAAAAAATGCTCCGAATCGTGTGATATATGCATTGAGCCATGTCAGTGGGTTTGTGATCATAAAAAATGCTCACGTTTGTGTGGCGAATTGTGTGACCGCACAGCTTGTGAAGAAGATTGTCCAAAAATGTTAGAATGTGGCCACGCCTGTTTAGGTTTCTGCGGAGAACCATGTCCTAAATTATGTAAAATTTGTGATCCATTTAATGAAGCATTCATCAAAACCGGGAGTAATACTAATGAGAAATTTATCTTATTGGAGGATTGTAACCACACGTTTCCTTCTAGCTATTTTAATCCACCTGTAATCGAAGAAACAATCTTTCAACATACTCAGATGAAAAGATGTCCCACATGTAAAACACTTATAAGAAAAAATTTTCATTTAGGAAGCAGTGTTAAAATTTGTATTAGAAATGTGGCAAATATAAAATTCAATATTAAGTTACAGGAGGAAAAAGTCAAAAATTTGTGTCTTGATGTCAAAAGCAGAGCTGTTGAACATTTAGAAAATGCCACCTTTAAATTTAGTCGCGTTTTTTATAAGCAATTGCTTGAATGTGTTGATGAAGTTAGCAAAAATAGAACTGCGCAAGAAATTTTGAGGATGAAACACTTTATGGAAATGCTTTCAAAATTTGAGAATTCAATCGGGCTTAATTACAAAATGTTCTCCAGAACAACCTATGGATCTATTGGCAATAAATTAAAATTCTACTTGATAAATGCTATGTTTTGGATTTCTACCATTTTTCTTGATGATTATTTAACGGCCTCTGAAGAGAAAATGTATGAATTAAAATGGGAACTGTTTCGTGTGCAATTAGGTTTAGAATTCCTAGCATTTTTCGTGGATCAGGTTAGAGGTAAGCTTCTTATCCCTGAAAATAAAATTGAAAATTGGAACAATCTTAAAAGTCAAATCATGACTTATAAGGCTTTCAGGGAGCCAGAGTTATCGCTCTGTGCTGCCGAGTGGAATGTTTTAACAGATGGTGCAAGAAGTATTAATCCGGTAAAACATTTCTATACCCACATTATAAACCACTCCACGTTTCGTTGGCGAAAGTGTATTGCAGGACACTTGTATTTTGCTGAACATGACGAAGAAAATGTCTGTACTGAATGCGAGGAAGGTTGAATGGGCAAAACATGTTTTGACAATTTGATATGTTATGTGAAGCTAATATTATGTGTGTTGTAATAATTTTATTAATTCAAATAATTATGCTTTTAAGCATGTTGTAATAATTTTAATAATTCATATAATTATGCATGAAACTTTTTTATATTTTTGAATAATTGGAAAGTGTTTATACCCCTAATTACAAACAACTTTTAACAACAAATATTGGATAACAATAATATGCAGGATGAATTGGAATATCGCAATTGAATGATGATTTGATTGTAGCAAAACGTAAGGAGATGGGAACAGCCTTCTGCTAAGGAAACGAGATTTTATTATCTCTAAATTTCAAAATTCGTTATTAAGTTTGTCAACAGGTGGCGTTGGTCACTGGTAGTAATAATAAACAATGTTTTCGAAGTATTCACAATTTGCAACTATAACATAATGGCGTTGTTTGAGGACAAAAGTTTGTGAAAATATTTCAATCTAAATGGTTTGACATTCAGCAGAAAACACTGCTTTATAATTTTTCTAATCAGATGACGAACTTAGTAACCAATTCTGAAAAAAAATAAATAAATGAAAAATCATATTCTATAAAAATTTTTATGTTATTAATAATTATTAATTTCATATGTTATGTTAATTTGACTTGATTAATTTGATGAGCACTGAAGAAAAAAACAGTGAGTAAAAGTGTTATTAGTTTACGCATTAAGTTTTTATTTCTTTTTGTTTCATCTTCTAATAAACAATAAATATTAGTTAGTTGTAGCATTAAATTAGAAATTGTAACCTTAGCATCCATTTCATGAATCAGGATAGACTGAAAGTGACATGTAACAAGAATTATTCATAAATATTTTGAAAAAACAACAACAATAACAGTCTCATCAAACTTTAATTTTTTATTTACCGTACTTCTATTTATTCACATTTATCTTAGTTATTTAATAAAATGTTTTTAAAAATCATTAAGGAAAAAAAATTTTAAGAAAATGTTATAAAATATTTTTGAATATAGAAATGTCACATGACAATTTTTTGCTTTTTGAAAGTGTGCATTTGTGTTTATTGTTTTCTAATTATCAATACAAATCCTGCAACTATCAACAAAATTCGATCGCATCAAATACCTATAATTCCTCATCAATTTTTTTCTCTTTATTTTTAATAATTGGTTTTAGTTTCGCTTAATAAAATTCTTGGACATAAACTGATGCGAAAAATAGAAAAAGGAAACTAATCTTTCCCCATATTTATTATGTATGAATATTAAATAGGCATTTGTTATAACATTATAATAGGCATTTGTTATTATTTCATTTAATAATCCTATTTTATTGAAGCCTTTTTTGGTGTAATGATTATTCATTTCAAATGAATGACACATTTTGTAATGCCAAATGATCTTTCAGCTGAATTATTTGTAATAAATCTTTTGAACCATTCTTGTTATTCTGCTTGGAAAATAATATGTATCTGTAATTTATAAATTTTTTTTTATAATCTTATTTCTTAAGATTTAGAAGGAAAATCACTGTATAAACTGTTTCCCCCCCCCAAAAAAAAAGGAAAAAGTTAAATAAAAGTATACTGTTTCAATAAATAGTTTTTGTTAAAATAATTTTTTAAAGTAAATTAATGCTTTGTTCCCCTTCTCTTGAACAAACGCTGCTCCAGAAGAGATGGTGACGGAGAAGTAAAATTCTAAATATGCTTTTAACCTTTTTTATTTAATTTTCATAAAAAAAATGAATGGGGGGGTGATATTTATTCCATTTAGCCGCACATTAGGATACGCACGAAAACCTCCCGCGGTTAGTCTGATGAGAAGGAAACTCTAACCCATGATCCGTTTACAGCTTAGGATATTTTTCGTCAGCACTGCGATCTGTGCAAGCCAGATGCGGAATTCGTATCGACCAGACATCGCCGGGACTCGAACCCGGTATACCTCATTGGAAGACGAACGCTCGACATCTTGAACCACCTCGACTCTCTGGATCATTATCTTTTTGGTGACCTCCGGACGTGATTTGAACACGCAGTAACTCCCACTTCAATCTGGTAATGCCTACTTCATTGGATGGTCCACATCGAACAGTTGACACTTGTGACTGCGATGTTATCCGCCTTCTCACGCTGTTGCTACTCAGTCTCGTCTCGATTAAACACAACGTCTGCCTGCATACACTCGACTGCTAATGGCAACACAGGAGCGACTACTACTGTGAAGTTAATACACCTCTCACATTCAGTACTCAAAAACCCGGTGACCTTAATTCCAACTCTCCCGGTCTGTCACAAGTACAATTATTAGTGGTATCTGTTCATCGAATTTCAAGCCTGATAAAATTCTGGTGGGGGAGTATTGTGGCGTAACTACTACTACAATTATTAAACATCAATTCACTGGTATATAAGACATGCTAACTTGATTCAATCATGAGGAACTTTTGATAGATGAAGGTTGGCATTGCCGATAACTCCGACCCCACATGTTCAAGAACATATACAATTGTACATTTTTTAAAATAAATAATAAAACTGTTCAGCCCTCTACATCTGGAGCCACCTTACTCCCTTTGCCTTCATTTATGAGAGATCCCAGCAACATGTCCGTAACCGTCTCATTTCTCACTGAAGAGTCAATCTCTTGTAAAAAATCTTTCCTCCACCATGATAGGAGAACGACACTGGCCGTGTCCTTCAGCCACTGACCCTCAAGGCAGGGATAGTTCATATGCGTGGGAGTGGAATCGGAAAGCTGGACACACTGTTTCAATATCAACTGATCTTTTAGCAGAGATATTTGGATTCGAGGGTAATTTCTTTCTTAATACTAATTCATTCCTGAAAAGCAATATGTCTAGGGCATTCCGTTAAAGATCTCCCTTAATATGTATTTTTCGCATCTTTATCAAAACTAAAAAGTAAACATTTTGCGAGTCGCAATTTAATATTTAACCGAGGATAAAACAAAAACGCTATCGAAATTTGATAAGTTATAGTAAAGGTAGAGGACGCAGATGTAAAACGCCTAACAGGTTTAAATGAAGGATGAAATTAGAAGGGGATTTTTAATAATCGTCTCTCAACTGCTCTTTATTTCCTCGTGCAATCAAAGTTCTTGTTGATTATTACCAGGGTTTGCAAAAATCAGACTTTTTAAGGAAAAAAATCCAGCCCATGTGGATTTTTTCAAGAAAAACCTAATTTTGAATTCCTTTTTATTAAATTTTATTTAAGAAAAAAGTAAGTTTTCTGAAATGAGTTACCTTATATAATTTTCAGTAAAAAGTTGCAAAATTAATTTATCAAACAATAAGTTGACCATTTCAAAAAACAATTTTGTTTGATAATAGCAACGAAAACTGATTCAAAATCATAAAATATGAAAAAATTCTGTGGGGTTTTATTTTGGGATTTGGTTCAATAGATTTTTTCAAGTGAACCCAATCTAAAAAAACTTGCTGGGTTTTTCTGAGCTGAACCAACACCTACTACTCCTCTTCTTGTACCATGACATTTTTTTTCCACTTTTGATAAGGATTTTAAAAATACATATTAAGGGGTGGCGTTTCCAAAACATGCTGATATATCTATCTATCTATCTATCTATCTATCTATATATATATATGCAGAGAGTGTTTTTNTATATATATATGGTAAAATTTTCCATGACACTATCCTATTTAAAATGTTTAGACTTATAGTTAAGTTGTTAAAACTTATATCGGATGTTTCTTTTTTCCTATGGAAAATCTATTTTCACGTGATAAAATTTTTATCTTATATAACTCTTATCTAATAAAACAAATAAGATTGATGTGTTTTGGTTTTTATTTCCTAGTAACACAAAGAGTATATTGATGTCCTTATCAGTCTGATCTATGCCCTTTCTTTTATTCTATGTATCTCATTAAAAGAAGATAAATTTTTGTTTTATCAAAAGAAAATTTATTCATGGAATAAATTTTACAATTGTTGTCATAAAATTAGAAAACTTAAGAAAAAATTATCTGATTTACTTGAAAAGTTTCACTCTATAAGGTGAGCGTAATTCTTTCCTTTTCAAACTATTTTTAACCCTTAATGGTTAAAATACCTTTAATTTTTCTTAAATCATTTTTAACTATATAAATTAGAAAGATAAAAAAAAAGATTTTATTATTTATTCATTTATTTCTATTTGGTACTACTATATATACTTCTGCCCTGCTAATATTACCTTGTGCTTTTTCGCATAAAATTACATTGGCTAAAAATGATATTTATATTAATATTTCATTTATTGTTTTCTTTCATAAATAATTGTTTTTTTATTAATAATATGGGATAACCTTTCGCAAAAATGTGGCGCTGTACCAAAAGTAATGAAATAGATGATTATTTTGAAAGTTCGAATGTTACTATTAGAAGATAGTATTCAAGAGTATTGAGTTTTCTAGCACGGCAGTATTATTGCATCTTTCTGATATTAGATCATATCTTTTTGCTACCTGGGTATCAATTTGTAAAATAAACTGACCTAATCTGTAAGTGAGATGCCAAATAAATTTTTATTTTGAAATATTTTATTTATTTAAAACAATATTCGTTTTGAAAAATTATCGTTATATTTCGTAATAGATTTTTGATGAAGTCATGAAAACTACAAAACAGTGTAATAAACATGCATATAATTCATTTTAATTGTTAGCTTCCGAAATGCAAAATATTTAACCATTAAAAAAGAAAAAAAAAAGTTTCAGCATGGAAAAGTAAATTACTGATTATCTTTTTAATAAATTATACTAAGCGGTTTAGTTTTCTCTCATTCACGAAAATGTATTTTTGAAAAAATAAATGAAATAAATAAAAATTTACGTTTTAAGATGAAATGTAATTGGAATATCAAGTAGTTTGATTTCAGCCAGCAACGAGATTTTTAGCAGCATTTTTTTAGAATTTGTTTATTAAATGTGTATTTGAAATTTTTATTTATTTATATGATTTATATTTATTTAATAATATGTACTATAAATATTATGCATGATAAATAATAAATAAAACTTTTCATTTTTAAGTAACAGTTTACTTTTCTGCATCATAAATTTTCATACAAGTAAAAATTATTTTTTTTAAAATGACTTAATTGATAAAATTACTTTTTATTCACTTTCCTACATAAAAATTTTCAATATAAAAATTCATAGCAATTTAATTCGTCATATAATTTATTTTGAATGATTTATTTAAAAAATTTAATATATTTTATATTAAATACAAAATTAGTTCTCAAATGAAATTTTTTTCCACAGTTCACACTAGATAGCAGCACGAGTCAAATAATGTTATTTTGTTTTGGTTGAGATTCTTAGCAATGCGGCTGCCCCAGTCTTAATATTTTATTATTTGTGGAAGTATGGCAACACATGTTTTTACAGATATAAGTTTCGGTTTGATTTTGGGGAATACCCGTGCCGGTAAATATGTGTTGGTTACATTAGAGACAAACATTGACTCTGACTATTAGCTTGCGAGTCATAAATTTTTTAAATGAAAATTAGATAATGTCATGTCTTCTTTTTAAAATTGAAAGAAATTATTTAAGTTTGAACTTGCTGGTTTGTGGCTTACTTATTTAAATGTGAAAAGCTAATTGCTTTTGTTCGATGTAAGTACAGTTTTCGAAGATATTTTAAATTTTATCTTGTCATTGAATGTTTTTAGAATAGTTATCGAATCCCAAGATAGTGAAAGTGCGTAGGATGAAAATTCTATTATTCACTGTTTATTACATGTAGTTTATCTAGTCATATTTCATTTGCATTTAGGTATGCTTTATTATATTCTCAGAATATTTTCAGTTATCAGTGTCCAATTTAATGAAAGTGTGCTGGTGAATAATTATTTTATTTTCAATTCTCGTTATATTTTTAATCAATCATATTTCATTAAAGTTTATTGTTTACTTAATGCAATATATTCTGTATATGTAACATCATATATGTAATATGTGTCATATTACAACACACAACATATATTTAACAGATATCACATTTTATTTTATCTTTCATTTTTTTAGTTTTTATGTATAATATATTAAAACGAAATTATGGCTGGCTGAAAAAGCTTTTTTTTTTGAAAATGTTATTTATTTAATGCTACATTTTATATACTTATATTATAATTTGCAAAAGAACCATTAGCTTTAAGTACCTTTTTGAACTAATGTCTTTTAAATATTCCTATAATTGAAAAAAAAAACACATTTATAAAAATATATTTATTAAAAATATATATATTTGAAAAAATTATGACTTGCTAAAAATTTTTTTTTTTCTCGAATAATGTTATTAGTTCAATGTTTCATTGAATATTTTAATTATGACTTGAGAATAAATTATTAACTTTAAAAGAACACCTTTTTTAATCAATGATGTCTTTTTGAGTATTCATATTATTTAAAAAAAGTCTAATTTTATTTGAGTAAACAAGTTTTTATGCATTCTATATTAAATTGATTATAACAGGTTTAAATTATGTTTTTGCATATAATGTTCTTTATTTAATGCTACATAGAGCACTTTGATAATTTGGGAAGAGGTTATTTGCTTAGTACTTTATGAAATCCCTTTTTTAAAACAAATATTTCTCTAGGAAATTTTATTTCTCCTGTTGTATTATATATGTGTTTACTTTAATAAAAACATGTCTAATTACATCAAAAAGCGAAAAATTAATAATAAAATTTCTCCAATTAGAAATTATAATTATATAGAATACTTGCTAGGCTCTTCTTGCCCATTGGGAATTCTGTTTCTTTCCATGGTGAGGGAACACCAGTTTTTTGATGCAGAAATTTTTTTAACCGAGGTTCGATATATATATTCTTTTTACTTTAAAAACTAAAAAATCTGATTTTTTAAAATTTAAATCAGACTTTTAATTAGATTTTTTTTTTTTAAAAAGATACTAAAATTTATAATTATTTCAATTTATGGGGAGATATCCGTACTGTGATCTGTAGCAGAGTAATCGCTGGGCAGCGGTCTATGAGAAACTAAAAAAAAACATCAAAGAAAAGGATCAACCATTCCTGGGTAAACATCTACATGTTTTTTTTAATTTTTTTTTGTTTAAAATCAATTTGGTGCTTTAGTGATTGTAGTGGGCTCTGCAGATCACAATACGGAAATATCCCTATTTTTGTTAATAAAGTAATTGTAATATCATAATATATTTGAAACAATATAATTGTATTAAGAATTGTTTTATTGTTATACATAATGCATGTAAATATGTGAATTAAATTTTTTTTAAATGAAAACAAAGCACATAATAATTAATTACAGTAAAACAAGTCAGATACAATTGCAGAAAATGAGAAAAATTTAAGACATGTGTTAGCAGGACAGCACTTCCTCAGGGGACACACTGCCTGCTAACACACTTGAGCCTTTCTATTGTCAGTGGTGAAATCAAAAACTGACGGTTCCCCGAGGCCCCATAATGGAAAAACAAATAAGAAAAAGCAATTAGAAAAATTGAAATGTAAATGCAAAGAACAATGACAAACAATTATAAATTAAATGTACACAGAGTAAGGCCTNGAGGCCCCATAATGGAAAAACAAATAAGAAAAAGCAATTAGAAAAATTGAAATGTAAATGCAAAGAATAATGACAAACAATTATAAATTAAATGTACACAGAGTAAGGCCTAATAATGATATGGACACATATAAATAAAGATAAAGTTACACTTAGAACAACCGAATCAAAATAAAATTTAAATTGCCAAATCATTAAGAAATAAATCAAGTGCTGACCATTCTTTTGAAAATCGTAAAAAGGAAAAGAAAAACATTCAATGAGTAAAAATTCTAAAAAAGTGCTACCATCTATATGCTTGAGGAACAAAAATCCTAAATTTCCCTGCATAAACCTATTTATGCGGGCTTTAATATCAGCTGAATTATTTAAATGTCTTTAAAATGTAATAATTACAATAATTGAAAGGAAAATTATTATTCTCTAATGTAATCTTGAAATGCCCGATAGCTGAAAGAAAATCTGTTTTATTGTTACAAATAAATTTAAATCTAATAATTTGTCCAATTAAAATATTCTTAAAAATTTTAAAGTAAAGATTGGAATTAAAATGTGTTAAACTAATAACATTAAACTTAAATTTTTTTCTTATATATATATTAAAAAAGGGCACTAAATTTTTGCTTATTTTCTAATTTCTATTCTGACTTCCCTGGAAGAATTATATCAGTTTTGAAATGTAATTGATTTAAATCAATGATTTCTTTTAAAAAAAATCAATTGATTTGAATAAGGATTTTAATTGTCTCGCAACTAATAGTGCGAAAGAAGATAGCACTAACGTTCATTTAACTTAAAAGTGGGCATTCTTTCCACAATATTTCAAGTAGCAATAATTCTAAAATGTTTAATTATGATGCTTTAAAATATTTCAACAAGTATGATGTTCAATTTTTTTTTGTAAGAAAATATTGCTTTCATAAGTGTTTCTCTCACAAATGTTGTAAATAAATATACGGTGAAACCTCCCGGAAAAACCACCTCTGTGTAGTGACCTCCACTATTTACGAATAATTTTGGGAGGCACGAAATTTTTTCAATTAACTTCGTGTTGAAGAAAACCTGTAACCATCTAAATTATTCCAATGAGGTGAACAAGGTTTGAATCCTGGCAATGGCTGGTCATTACGAATCTGCATCCAGCGTGCACTGACCACAGTGCTGACGTGAAATATCCTCAGTGGTAGACGGATCATGGGTTAGAGTCCCCTTGCCGTTAGGCTAACTGTGGGTGGTTCTCGTTGTCTTCCTCTTCATGTAAGGCAAATTTCTCCCAATACTCGATCCAGGAGTTCCCTTTTCTGGATTGGGTTCAAAATTCTAAGGCTACGGTGTTGAACATTAATAGTCGTAAACCCGAAATTTGGGTCGGCTGTTCGATGACGGTTATATATATATATACAAATTATTAATTAATTTAATAGTAGTAGCACCAGTCGTTTATTTACATCACATTAGAACTGCACAATGGGTATTTGCGAAGGTCTAGGATCTGGGAAACATGTATGGGGATGATCGAAGATAAGCCATTCAATTTTTGATCCTCTTCAGGCTAGATGGCTTCTGCATGTTAGTAGCCCGACAACCTACATGTGAATTCGAGCACTTCACGATTGATACTTTAACCCTCAAAGCCTTCGCAGGTTGATTGAAGTGGTCACTCACCTGCACACTGACTGCAGCTAGTGATGCTTGACTTCAGCGATCCATTGAAAATTGTGTCTCAATGTTCAATTCTCTGCAGGACTAAATTAATTTAGATAAAATAAAAAAATAAAAAATGGAACTATTCTTCTAAAATATTAGCAAAATAAGTCTTTTTCATTATTTACATACAAAAACTTTATATTTTAAAAATTTTTGAAGAGTACTTATTTAAATAAGCAAAGCTAAAGGGCTCTAATTGAAACATGTTTATTAAGTAGCAAATTATTTTCCATGCTATAATTATTGAAAATTATAATCAAATAGAGAAGTATAATTTAAAAATTTTATGTTACTTTTATTCACATTTAGCCCCTTTTTTTCAATATCTAATAATAATTTACGTGTTCACCCCCTCATTATTTCTTTTGATAAAACTTTTATTTCTTATGATAAAACTTCAATGAAAGTAGAGTTTGAAAGAATCGCGTGCTTTAGAGTATATTTCTAAGTTAAATGGAAAAGAATTTTCAACTTAAGCAAATAATTTCTATATTATAAATAATAATAAAATAATGATTTAAATCAGGGTTCGTCATAAATCAGCTTGATTTAAATCATGATTTAAATCAAATGATTTTTTTAAAAAAATCATTGATTTAAATCAACTAATTTTTTTTAACTATATATATTGATTTTAAAAGTTAAAAAACAGTGTTTTAAATTTTTGATACTTTTATTATTTTCTTTTCTTAGTATTAAAATTTAATTTAAATAAATTGCTGCATTAATTAATTTTAGTTAACGAAATTACTTTCTTGGTGTGTGTTAAATTCCAACACATTTGAAATTACATTTTTAAAAATCTTTTGATTCTTGAGATTGAAAGTACAGATTAAAGTAAACATTTAATGCTGTCTTAATATAGACTTGCATAGCTGTAGAAAGTAATTAATAAACATGAATTTTTTTCAAAAAATAATACAAATAATGTTAATTAAAATTCTACCTTTTGAATGAAAAAGCGTGAATTAAAATCTACATCATATTTTATTGGTGGAAAATGTATATTTCTGAAGCTTGAGGTTATATTAAAAAGAAATTACCCTAATATGCCAAAAACAGAAAAAGAAAAAAAAAGGGCTGATGAATTCAGATGTTTTTTTTCCTAATATAGTGTCATTCTTCCCTTTCAAACTCTTTCAAAGTCTATTTGATGCAGTAGGGTTATTAACTGGTATTTTTTTCTCATAATATGTTTACAGTATCTTTGACATTATCTGATTTTCTATAAAGAAATTTTGTGAAAAAAAATTCCAATGAGTACATAGATTTTCTAATTTTTTTTTAGCTTAACTTATCTATTTTGATATAGAATTAAAAATGAATATTTTAATATAAAAATATATAGATTAAA